AGGGACGGCTAGCGCAGATAGCCCTCGTGTAGCTTTGCGCGAAATTCAAAAACAAACTCTTTAATCTTAAAGAGACACTTCTATGACGAACAACCTCCGCAATCCCTACATCTAGGATCTGTAATCGGAGTTCTTCCAAATTATTTAACATAATGTGCAAAAATTTATAGATGTACAAAAACAAGGTAGGGGTGAAAACACCAAACCATACAAAAATCACTACATAAGTAGCGAAATCTTTCAAAGAAAAACTTTTATCTACAACTAAATGTCCAATTTCTGTCAGTTGCATGAACTCAGGTTTGAATAAAAGCATTTAAACTGAAGAATGCTCTTACAATGGCTAATTCCAATAATTTGTAACATTGACTCACTGGCTACTTACGTAGTAATTTGTGTATTCATCCCTACCTTGTTTCTGTACTTTTTGGCCTTGCCATCCCCACATCATCCTTATATATATTTCTTCAATTTTTTTTATTACTTGTTTCCCCCTATATTTTTTTCTTTAAACGAACGGTAGTCGCTATGAAGGCAACAGTTTTTAGCCTGGCGTGATGAGTTGTCTTGATGGACATCATGTGTTGAAGTTAGTGAAACGCTATACTGCTTCTGCACTCCCCAAGTTAATTAAAATACAACATTTTGGTGTGTAAATCATCACAACAACTTCAAGTATTGGTGAACTAGCCCTTCTGATGTCAGAATCAGAACATTTCACTGTTACGCTACTCTCCTGTTCTCTATTTTAACGATGTTTTTGGTTAAACTAAAGGTTTTCATAGCTTTTTACAACTTCGAAAACCTATGTTAGGTGTTTAAAAAAAGCCTTATATTGTTATAAGAGAGATTTTAGACTACGATGAGCAATACATATCATGCGGCGGCCATTTTTACCTCCCGACCCATCCCTACTAATAAGCACTACCGTGCTTAGTGATACTGAAATGGTCAAAAGCATTAGAACTTCTAAATCTTTTCAAGAAAAATACCACTCAGTGACTTAATCAAAATATTGACTTTAAACGTTTTAGCATTTAATATCAATGGATAAATCAGGTTGTAATTTTGTTTGGTTTGGCGCATTGCTACACAATTGGTTGTCTGTGTTGTGTTTACCAAGATGATAGAATTACTACTTTTATCGTTATAAGCCCTCAAACTTACAACTGTGCCACCGGGGTATAATTTGGCTCAAATTGTTTGCAGACATTATAATTAGTGAGTTAAAGTAAACACTGCTAATAATTTTTCACGGTACCAATAAATTGACTGATTTAGTTTTTATAAATATAAAACACGTATCTTAATCACACAGAGAATCTTATGTTCAGATGTGTTGTCAGTTTTGTGGGATCTATTATATAACAGCCATCTTGTTATTATACTTGTCACAATACGTTAATACTAGGCCTATTACATTTTTAAACGCTACATTATTAACCTAATCCCTTAAGGATGTTCAACAATTAGAAGTGTTCCAAGCACACTATATTGTCTTGTTATTGTTGTAACAATTTCTACCGTTAGGCGGGTTATTTTGTATTAATCGACAGAAAAAAAATCTCCTTACAATTCGTTAGCTTAACTAACGTTTACTACTAAGCCTAAGTTCATAGTAGACACTAACACAACAACTGACTAAACATCTGATAGTAATAGTAGATAAACTAACAAATTGCTAACTCAATAATCAGTCATCCTCTGTCGTATTCACAAATCAATCCTCACTAGCCTAACTTCCATTTTATACAAGTCAATTATTTTCGTAAAGTGTCAAGAAAGTTCTTTAATGCTACTTCAAAACTCCTGAATAATAACACAAACATACCATAGAACATCATACTAAATTCCAATGGGTTAAATCAGAGATAGATAATACAATACTAGTTTTGATTTTTAATAATAATGAAACAATTCTATATATATTTTAGAAAGTTACAATCTTACACATCTGGTTATGTTTAAACTTGTATTTTATGGTAAAGCTACTAAAACCATTCTTAACTTTCAATTACTGAAGGGCTGTCACTTTTATAACGCACTCGTAGCATATAGTACAGGAACTATTTTGTGGTATTGTACAAATTTGAATCAGGCTCACCAGCTCCGAAATCTAAAGTTCTACCAGAGAGCCAGCTCGCACCCTAAAAAACTAATAGTTTAGTTATTAACATTTATTACAGACGTAATTTTCCAAAATTATGTATTTACTTTTCTTGAAAGTAGCATTCAATCATTCTAACAAGCTACATAA